GTGTCAATGCGGATAGAGTCATCTTGAACCCGACTGCTTCTTCTGTCAACGCTAACTCATCATCCCGTCCGGTTACCTCGGTTATTGCATCCAGTCCAGCGAGCTCTCTCCACGAAGGGTAAGGGTTGCATATGAGACATCTTCACGAGTCTGATGACATCGATATTCTCTATCACTGTACCTTGCGTTTCCAGCAGTCGGAAGAAAGGGACTAATCCGACTATAACAATCGTGGCCGTCATCCTTAGCGGGTTCTGTACGTAACACCTTGAATACGGTTGGTTGGGTCTACTAATTGCTGCATAACACCAATGGATGTCCTAGTTTTATTCTGCTTTGTAGCCATCATAGCAGTTATCGTAAGAAGGAGGAGGCAAAAGATAGACACACTCACAACAGAGTGTGGGATAAAACCACCTCTACCCTCCGATCAGAGCAAGCTCAGAGTCATGGTCCACCTCCCTCTCAAACTACAAGACCAAATCGAAAGCCCAATAGACTTTCAGGTAGATCCGCTCAACATTACACAATAATCACCGTGTAGAATGGTTTCATACTGGGTTGAGGGTATTGTCTGGGTATCAAATCCTTCACCGTTTCACCTTTTTCATACTGTTGTAGTCATTTCGCTGTTTTAGATCTTGTCAGTCCGGTATTCGATTCAATAGCCTCTCTACTTCTAACATCTTTTTCATGGAATGGAGAGGGTAATCATCTGTAACCTTTAACGATATAAACTTTCAATAGCGAATTCTCTTGAAGATTCTCTGGTTCAAGATGTATCAATACATCTCTATACTGGTTTCGTGGTGAATTTCGTAGTCACTAAGTGAGATTTCATTCTTGAGGGTTTGGTATCTGCGGTTATCGTCAGAGGTCAAGCTGTGGCGGAGACAAGACGCTTGGCACATACTGCCCACGTTTCAAGACAATCTTCTGCCAATCCGTGCCATTCTGTGCAGCTATCATCTTCTTCAAAACCTCCACTGTATCCTCTGAGTCTACCCAGACCTTCACTATATCATGATTATGTCAGCGCTCACAAAAATTACACTTGGGTAAATGCTCTTACCTTTGCCTCCTAGGCGGTTGTTAGCTACTACCTAAAGATACGGTCAGATATTCAACTCGGAATTTGCGTACTAAATTTACCTGAATACGCGTCATAGTGGTAGGGATCAAGTTGCGTAACTTTCCGGATGCCACTACCAAAACGGTAATAATACCCTAACCCATTCAGTGAAGCCGCCCACATTAATCATCCTCCACAAATGATACAACGAATTAATGAAAATGTTAACTACATAATTTGGAGTTAGAGAGACAGACCACTTGGTGATCATACTTGAACTTCCCGATTGAACGGAATTATCTCTACCAGAAACTTACGTTCCTACTCTAAGACAGTCAGCGTGAATCAAGTTCATTGCACACAGATATGAGTAGGGTTGTCATAATTTATTGAATTCTAGAGAATGAATGGTGTCGTCTATCATAGTTCACGATTGTATGAACTGTTGTATTAGACCCGGATCTACATTAAAACCACTTTTATGTGTCAGTAAATGGAAACTATAACAATATCAGCTCACCTGATAACCTTGCCCACCGATCGGCATTCCCCGACGAAACCAGCATCACCCTCTTGCCTCCACCGTACCTCCCACCATCCCTTGACATTTCCATTCGAGTCAAAAGTTTCAGCGACCGTTTCCTCACTTCCGTGTACGAGCTTCATTCCCTTCTTCTGCACCTCGGCCATAGGAATACGTATTGACTGACGCAGTTTGACCTTCACGAGGTACTCCTCTGCTCTTTCCAAGAAAAGCGGATCATATACGACCGTATTCAGATTCTTCAAGAGGATTGTTGTTGTAGTAAAGTGTATGCGTCTTCCAGCTCCATTAGGTCCTTGGGATTCAACCCGTAGGTTGGTAACATAACTTGACCCCGCCCAAGCTATAAGTGCCGTGGATAAACCAGACGTAGACAGAGCCGTCAGGCCCAGTATGAATCGTCCACCTGTCGGCACGGCCGAGTCGATTACGAACATTAACGGCGTGAATACGGCCGCTAGTCCCATTGAAGATAGAGAAAACTTTTTCAATCTTGTATACGAGTCCGACAGAGGGCCACGGTGCTCGACTAGCACTGATGAAGGGGTGGACGAATTCTCTGGCTTTTGTTTGACCTCTGTTGATAGCTGACGGAAAGGCTTTATGGCCTGTCTAGCAATAAATGTTGGTCCCAGCATGCGTCGAGATGGACCTAAGAGGCCCATTCGTTGGCGAGTCACGCCAGAAAGAAATGACATGTCGAAAAGGAAGGAGGGGTCGAGTTCAATCTATGTCCAAAGATTCATGTGGACAATATCTTGAATGACGCCCGGCACTGGAGTTTAATCACTTGCACCAGAAAGGGCTAGTTATAATTAGACTTTTCATTCACTATTTATGCTGGTTGGTAAGGTAGATCTGTACCAAGAGGTGGCAGGCAGAGCTCATCCACAAGCTTTGCAAGAGTCATGTCTGCCTATACTCTGAACGTCTCTTTAGGATCCACTGTAATTCCTTATGGACTAATTGCTCAAGCCGCATTCGCGGATATCGAAACATCTTTTCAGGAGACCTCGGATCATGAAGTCTCTCTTAGCCACAATGGCGAATTGGTGACTGATCAGGCACAAATCGCCTCCATACTAGCCGGAAAAGCTGCAGTTATTGAAGGGAGTTCGAAGGTTCGTCGTTTGAATATCAATGTGATTAGGGATATAAGACTTACGGCCTTCGTAATCAGGCTCCTGAATTTCTTCGCATCGCCAATGAACTAAAAGGCGCTCAAGGATTCCCTCAGATCGTGGCAACCTTAGATACCCTAGATGATTACTTGGCCTTCCGAGCATTCTTTGTCGGCTATTCATTATCCTCTGTTGATTTAGCTGTCTGGGGAGCGTGCAAAGGTATGAAGGGGATTGTCGGTCTCGTTCTTGTTTCTGATCACGTCTCTAGGAAGTGGACAAGTTCTTGGGATACTTAAAAGAAACCAGCACCCTCATCTCTCAAGGTTCTACAACTACGTCAATGAACTTCCATTTGTCCAGCAAGTATTGACATCAATTAATACGGCTAAGCAGAAGAAGGTTTGAGATTTATACTATCTCCACTATCTACAAGTTGGCTTAAAGAGTAATATAGGCACAGGCAACGAAAGGATCGAATACTGGATTCATTCTCGACCTTCCAAACGCAAAAATGGGGGCAGTCGTTACTCGTTTCCCACCAGAACCAAGTGGATACCTGCATGTCGGACATGCTAAAGCTGCTATGCTCAACCAGTATTTCGCCAAAGCCTACAAGGGCAAACTTCTCATTCGGTTCGATGACACCAATCCCGCGAACGAAAAGGTGTGTTTCTTGACCAGACTTTAATAACCAATACTGACCTTTGTGACCTATTATAGGAAGAGTTTGAGAAGACGATCACTGAAGACTTGGATTTGATGGAGATCATCGGCGACTGTGTTTCCCATAGCTCCGATTATTTCGACCTTCTTGCCGATTATGCTGTGAAGATTATCGAGGCAGGGAACGCTTATGCAGATGATACTGACGGTGCTACAGTAAGTAGTTGTCCACTTTATCGAACTATGAAATGAATTGACCCATGTCGCAGATGAAAGAAGAGAGGATGCACGGAATCGCGTCGAAGAACCGTGACAAGTCCGTTCAGGAGAATTTGGCGATCCTGGAAGAAATGAAAAAAGGAACCCCAGAAGGTCAACGCTGGTGCATCCGAGCCAAGATCAGCGTGGATGACACAAACAAGGCCATGAGGGATCCGGTGATCTACAGGTGCAACGTTGAGACGCCACATCACCGAACGGGGTAAGCGAGTTTTACGGTAATTCCAGGAGACGAAACGATTTACATGCCTGCAGGGATAAATGGAAAATGTATCCGACATATGACTTTACCTGTCCCATCCTCGACTCCATCGAAGGTGTCACACACGCTCTTCGTGCAAATGAATACCGCGATAGAAATGCCCAATATGCGTGGTTCCAGGAAACTCTTGGGTTGAGACCGTGTACAATCTGGGACTTCAGGTAAGAAATTGACGTATCCACAGAACGAGAAGATCGTTTCTAACCTCCTCTGAATCGTGTCCGGTATTCATTTAGTCGCCTTAATTTCAATTATACTCTGTTGTCGAAGAGAAAATTGAAAAAGTTTGTGGAGGAGGGTTTGGTTTGGGGGTGGGATGATCCACGCTTCCCGACTATTCGTGGATTGAGGCGGAGGGGGATGACCGCTGAAGCTCTGAGACAGTATATTCTTGGACTTGGAGCTTCGCAGTCGATTTTGCAATTGGAGTGGGACGCATTATGGGCCACGAACAAAAAGGTCATTGATCCCATCGCACCTCGCTATTACGCCGTAGAACAGCAAGACAGGTGTGTGAAAAGTTCTATATTCGCTTTCGTAGATGAGCATACATTGTACACGATTCCTACTAACCGATTTTTCCTC